GTTCATTTACTGACCGCAACTGAGCACTAAGCTCCTGATTTTCCAAAATTAATTTCGACGACTGAGAATCTTCCTCCTCAAGATCGCGAATACGTTTTTCATTCACCTGACACTTACTCGAAAGTGCACGAACATTTTTCTCATGTTCTGCATTACTTGCCTGCACTGCCAATAACTGCTGCCTTAGAGCCGAAATATCACCGTGTAATTTATTTTTCAATTTATCGTCTTTAGACAAAATTTCATTCAACCGATTAATCTCATCGCTATTTTGCAATTGCCTAAGACACAATGCAACATAATTTTTCGTACACCGAATCATAGTACCCAATGAGTCACGAGTGACTGCTAAAGCCTCTTGCTCCGATTTTGAAGCTTTCAACTTAGCGTCCACCTCACTTACTTCTTGCGCAAATTCCTGATTTAAAGGATCAAAATCATTTTCAAAAATGAAATGCCGCAAATCTGACTGAAGAGGATGCAAAAGATTATTCACATTTTCATCGAAAGGAATATCTTCATCCAATAATGACTTTTCACAATTAAACGCCGTATTATTTTCATCATCTGAATTTCCAGAAAAAGGAGTTCCTTCTCTCATCGTAATATTACCGCCAACCGTATTATTATTCTGATCATTACTCATAGTAAACACGCGTTCATCGCTCACTTGAGCCGCTGCACTACGTTCTCTCGCCATATTGGACGGAGTCACGAAGTTCCCTACCGCTACCGAATTCAAATTTTCAACTGCATTTCCAACTACTTCTGTATTCTGCACATTTACTGACTGCCCTACTGAGTGTGGAATTACCAGTTGCGACATCACCGATCTCCTCGGATCCACCACTTGATCTGGATTTACCACTGACGGAGTTACCTGTTTCCCAGGATTAACCGTACCAACTGACTGGCTTGAAATCAACTGCATACTGGACAGAGTCATGCCATTTTTCTGTGCACTCGAAGCCGAACTATCTTCCAAGTCCAACAACGACTCGCTTACCGCATTCCCAGAATTCTCAATAATTACCGAGGCATTTAGCTGCCCATCTGACATAACTATGGTATCCCGAGATTTCTTACCAGTACCTGACTCCTTTCTTTGCTGAACTTCTGCCTCGTACGCAGTGACATTCAAGGTCGCCCATTCTTTTGCTGCTTTAAACTCTGCTTCTGACATATTCAAATAAGCTGACGGGATAGACCGTTCGTGCGAGAACCAAGTGCTATAGTAACTCGGAGCTCTTACCAACGTTGAATTTTTGTCTTCCCAGTCAACCCATTGTTGACTGCAATACGCGCTTTTTTTCTCCGGAGGTTCTAACCCTACTGCCCTATACATTAAGCCAAGGGGAACTTTCTTCGGAAACTGAAAACGAGTATCAAACCCGCTTTCAACAGCTTTCGACTGCAATCTATCTGATTCAACTTTTCTTAATGGCCAAAAGCCATCTCGTTTCACAGTTAAATCTGCTAATTCTGACATTTTGTTTGCAATGCAACCGCGACTAACCTTACCAATTACAACTGGATTCAGAAAGTGAAAGTTACACTGTTCCCGTTGATTGACGAATCAACCAACTCGTATGACCCACGGCTCTTGACAGAAATGCACGTACGCTACTCAAAGCTGTGACTCCTGACGACACCGTTTCGTTAGGACGACGCTGACTCAATACCAACTTCCGCGGTACCGAAACAACACGTCCGAAAGTCTCGTTGTTACAGCAAACACTCAAGCATGCGTAACCAACTCGTACGAATCTCGTTGCTACAACACGCACTCAAGCGTAAGTGAGCAACTCGTATTTACAGCTGACCTTTAAGGTTTCAACTGCGAATCGTATTTAACCGCTAGTTACAACACTGTGACTGATTTCCAGTTAACAGTGACACTGCGTTTCACAACAAGAGACAGCTATATCTGCTCTGTTGATTACCGAAAATTTTCAAAAATCGTAGTACGATGGCTACTCCGCTAACTCGGATACGCCATATTTACAAAAATTCAACATTTTTACGAAGGTTCAGTATCAAAGAACGGCTAAAATAGGTTGCGAATATTCGCACGTTTGACTTACAATTTCCGATCAGCTAATCCTGCTGGTTCTGCCGTTCAAATTCACGTAGTCTTTCTGGCTTGCCCGGTTCAGAAAAGAAAATAAATTGAAAGGAAATTTTGACCTCGAATGGTCTTACGGTGCTTTTTCAATCATAGACACGTAAAGTGCCGCATACACGAACAGTTTTCAAGTGCCTATACTGTTCTCAGTCCGTATTGTCACCCAAAATATATGTCGCTAAGTGCGAATCAATCTATACATCAATCAAACCGGGGGACTCGGTTACCCTAGGTCAGTACTGGAACGCAGACCTCCTGCACCACACTAGTGGCTCCTAACGGACTTTCTTAAATGTGGGCTCTCTCGAGTTGACCACCAACCATCCTGCACCATCAATTTAATTGTACTATCAAATTAAATTAAACTTTCTGCTCCATCGGGAAAGTTTGAACCACGGTGGGCGCCATGTCGTGCAATATAGTTGAATAAAATAAGGCGGTTGTGCGGTGGAAATATGCACTTCCCAAACCACGACCAGTCGGGGAATAGAGCGACTCTTAATCTCAACTTCTTATGTATTTCATGGAGCGAAAGTTCAAGGATGTTGATGTACAAGTATGAGATGATATGCAAGGATGAAGAAGAGGATCCGGAACTCGAAAGCCTGCTGAAAGAGAAGACACGAAAGGAAACACAAGGGATGCGTGAAGTCATACGTTACCTGTCCGACGCTAGATGGTAGCTGAAGCGTATGAGTATGACAAATCCATCAACCTGGCACTACAGGGCATGAAGATCGAAGGGACCGAAAGGTCAAGGCAAACAAGTGGGATCAAGTGGGTAGCCTGTTACGTCACGAGACTATCCGAAGATGATAATGCACGTCGACGAAGTAGAGGAATGACCCCTGACAATAGGTGAAAGGTCACCCAGAGGTCAGTTTGAACAGCCTCACTTGGAAAGAGAAGACCAGAGCAAAAGCCTGAAGTTAATCAGATCGAGTAACAAGACTATACTTTTGTTGGGATTACAACTCTTGACATTTCTATGGGCGACGAGCGCCTTATATAGCCCTGGGCACCGCAGGTGCTGGCTCTTCGTACACGCAGGTACGGGTCTGAGAACAATAGGGATATAAACTCTAGCCAATAAGAGACATCTGAGGACACGTGGACTAATCACACCGCTGCACAACTACACGTGGACTAATGAGAACATCAGGTCAACTAATACACTAGAACAACAGGTTGAGCTACGTCATCGAAGCGCGGTCACGTCGAAATGGCAAGTCGCGGTCAAAGTTCTCTGCTGGGGATTTCTGAGAAGTCGAAGTAGAGACTCGGGGTCAGGACTCGCGTAGAAGATGTAGTAAAGCCTAAGCCTTAGTTGTAGGGGTAGAAGTAGTAAAGTAGTACCGATGTGTACTAAGGGACGCCAGTACACGTCAGTACCATTGCATTTTTACTAGTAAGTTGTAGATAGTGTAAACTTTAAGCGGCAGACAAAGGTCACGGAGATCTGTATTATGGGATACATTCAGAATATGCTATTGTCCGAATAGTCGAAGCGCTCCAACCATTCGGACCGGACGCTTCTCGCGTTGTCACCGAGCTCGGGAAGAAGGTACGACAGGAAACAAGCGAAACATAGCGAGATCGGCATCGAAATCCAGCATGGGAACGCGGCCGGAACTGCACTGCACCATTGGCTAATTTAGACGGAATGTTCTGGTTAATTAGGCTGCATATTTCTGCTCGCGCCTGTGTAATCAGCGCATAGTTTAACTTTTATTAGTTTTATAGAAACGCATAGCTTTTTGTCGCCGAACTGACATGAATAAAATAAACAGTAATGGAAAAATAATATATATGTATACGGGCAAACACTGATAGTCATTCAGCGGCGGCGGCATATCTATACGGGACTATACCGAAGGTCGCCTATCAATACCGAAGGTCGCCGGATCGACTGCAGAATTAGAATTTCATTTCGTCGTTCTTTACGAAAATCGGAATCCTCGGCGAGGATACCTCGCACGAAGCCAGAAATCCCAGATTTCCCAGACTAGAGTAGTGTCTGTCTGCAAAGTTCCTGGACGTTTTGATTGGTTAACAGCTGCCCAGTTAATTGCGTGTGGGCTGCGCTCTCTATTGTTTGTTGTAGTCCGTTCTTAGCTGTAATGATCACAGTAAGAACGGACTATAGTTTTACACTAGTTCTACTGCACTTGCATTTTAAAATTATTCGACACGAAAAAAGCCCGAAATCAGTTCCAAATTGGGACTTTCAATCGGCAATATTCCCTGGTCTTCTTGTCAGCGTTGATTCCTGTGATCGGAAAGTCTAAGGCCTAGCACTTTTACATAATTTCGCTTTCGTCGTTTAGAATCTTTTGGCTGTAGTTTGGATTATTTTTACATTATTTTGACGATTTGTGCGGTGGCGAGTTAAACCATGTCTGTCAGCGCAAAACGTCGAGGCACGCTTCCGCACATCACCGGCCGAATGAAAGCAGTTTTGGCTAACGGAGAGCTGAGCGACATCGAATTTGCCGTGGGACGCGAGTATGGCGAAGTGAAGATGATTCCAGCCCACAAGTGCGCACTGCTCTTTTCTATGATTCTATCCAACCTAACCTAAACTAGTTTGTACTAACGAGCGTCCGATCGTGGCTTGACGATTTGAACGATGCAGGTTCGCTCTAAGCATCAGCAGCGATGTGTTCCACACCCTGTTCACGGGAGCTTAGCTAAGCGCGACGTAACCATCATTCCAGTTCCTGAAATCCATCCCGAAGCCTTTCTCAACATGCTCAGGTTTGAGCAGCAAGCCAGTATTGTGTTCAACTTTTTTAAAGACTTGAATTCAGCTTACAGCTAACTACTACAGAGTTGTAGAAAAACAGAGTAGTATGTTTTTTTCCTCTGCTTCCAGCTACATCTACACCGACTCCGTGGATAATCTGAAGCCAGAGAACGTTGTCCAGACGTTGTACTGCGCTGACAAGTATGATCTGCCATGGCTGGCGGACCGCTGCATTACCTTCGTCCTTGAGCAAATGCAGCCCTATAACTGCCTGGTATTTTTGGAAAATGTGGGTCTGTGTCAAAAAAATTAATATTTAATACGCTCATATTAACCCAGTAAGCAAACGTTTAGGTTACTGTGAAAGGTCATTTCCAATCAGTCTTCTGATGTTTAGCAAAAGCATATCGTTTCTGTGCAGGCATTACGCTGGACCCCGGATCATGACCAGATTGTGGAGAAGTGCCTGGATATTGTGGACGAGTTCAGTTTGGCTGTGCTCCAGTCGGATCATTTCCGGGAGATCGGATTGAAGACACTGGAGATGGTTTTGCGACGAGACACACTGTCGGCGGAGGAGAATGTTATCTACACAGCAGTGGAACAGTACGTGAGCACTATTTTGGCAGCTAATGTAGTTGCACACTTGAAAGAGGAATTCAATAAATGGACAGCGCTTTTGTATTCTGGTAATATTACCATTTGTTGTAGGTGGGCGATGGCAACTTCTACCCGCCAAAACAAGCCTCCTTCCGTCGCTAATCACCGGAACGCGCTAGGAAACGCCCGGTTCCTTGTTCGTTTTCCACTTCTGACTGATGAGCAACTGGCTAAGGGACCTGTGACGGTGAGCTGGAAAACTGTCGATAATCGATAGTTGCGTGGTCGAACATTTCTTTTTCGATTCCAGAGTGGTTTGTTATATCCCGACGAAGTGTGCAAGATTTATGTGTACAAGCATGCTGGCACCAAAGAAGGGCTGAAGTTTCCCACGGACCTCGGAAATATTTGGCCTATGACGTCGGAACCAGGAATGTATATCATTTTACGCGCAAGTCGTACAAGCCCAAGGAAAAGATATTTGCTGCATACACGAACGGCTATTGGCATCCTGCCAGGGTTTCCGGTGAGAATGTACTGGATCGCTATGCCCCGCCTGCCCTGAAGTTAAAACCACCGCGATCGCCGTTGGCTGTGCCAATACAAACCGTTCGCGCTGTCGATATTTTGGAACGGGGTCTTCCCATGGATGTCTGCATTGATGGCGAATATAAGGACGCCACGTACTGTCAAGTTTCAACAGCGCGCTGGATTGCATATGGTGAACGTCGCCGGTCGAGAACATCAGGTGAATTTTATGCAGCTGAGGATTGCCAACAAGCACGTCAGTTTTTGGAAACTCACCGAAGCGTTAGTTAAAAGGAACACTTTGAAGAATGAATGATACGAAGATTAGAGCGACGGGAAACCATAGTCACCAGGGATATTTTATGAGCAGGCCAGTGAGGCCACATAAGAATAGGTAGTTTACAGGACTGACACTGACGCTTGTTTTTCTTTATAAGCTTGGATATGTTCAGCCTGGATCTTTTTGCCCTTTGCATAGTTATTGAATACTGATGTCTGTATCGTAATGTTCCTAATGAAGCTGGACAGAAGCTGCCGCTTATCGTCGATCTGTTTTGTACGGTGTTAATGCTGTTAAGAAGAAGCGGTATATAGATACTTATGTGCCACATCTGAGCTGGCGTTCTGATAAGTTAGCTGGTTAGTGGTTCTGCGAGTGTGGGAGTGCGAGCGGTTATGTGCGAGTTGCCGAATACCATAATTATCGAATTTGTGGCTGTGGGACGCAAATAGGTCGAAGGTTGCTGCGGACGGGGTCCTGTTCCGGGGAAGTGGCGAAATTTTTGGGTGGCATTATTTTTCAAACAGCATATCTTGGAAGGAGACATTACATTTCCAGCAACTGCGCCTTCTGTTCTAGTGAAGCTGTACCCAGTAGTTACCGGTATATGCAACCGCACAACCTTGTGAGCAACATTTTGGAGCATATTCATACCTATGCAACTGTTTGCCAACAAACACCACATTATGTTGATGTTCGTATACTTTTACCCGTTAAATCCCAATTGCATGGAGAAATTTCCGGTATACCTGTCATTTTGAGACGCTTGACAGTTACTAACAGCCCCTTATGGCGTAGTTTTATTCAGGAATTATGATTAAAGATGGTCTACAGAGTAGTTGCTAACACTTAACAAACAGTATAGAATGCTGTGTTTTTGGCAAAATGGCAAGTGGAGAATCGGAGATATCAATATGTATACGCATAATACGCCTCTACGGGAACGATTTTGATGGTGAGCCGCCAATGGAAGCCAGGTCAGCTTCCGCCGGAATCAGCTGTTCAAAGAATCAGAGGTAAACTCGTGGTGTGCTGTTACGTGTAACTCGGTAGCTTCGTTACGCTGGCTGGCTGTCAGCCGAAACCAGTCCTAAAACTCCACAACAGCTGTCAACTTGTCAGTTCCTTCCGATCTTTATTTTCTGGTTTTGACTTTTTTGTTTATGCCTTGCAATTTATTCCTTTCGTTTTGCGTTTCTTTTGACACTGAGAAGTCCGAAAAGAGATTTCACAAGATAATTTAACACTTTGACTCGCCTTCTGTTGGCAGTAATTACTACACTAGACACTACTGTACGACTCGTACAGTACGAGTATCTTCAGTATCATTACTTTAAGTGCTGATCTCGTATAGTATCGAACTATCTACAGAGTCTCTCTCGTCCAAGTTGGATTGTGCAGTAGCGCAGTTGGAGCTGGATCATGTCCCAACCATCGTTCATCAGTGCTGAACATCGAGGCACGGTTCCTCACATCGCCAGTCGGATGAAGGCCGTCTTGGCTAACGGAGAGCTCAGCGATATTGAATTTGCCGTGGGTCGCGAACATGGCGACCTGAAGATGTTTCCAGCCCATAAGTGTGTGCTGCTTTGACATACGACGAATGCATATGCATGTATTATTGTATTGACTCCTAACATGATGATGTAAACATTGCAGGTTCGCTCTGAGCATCAGCAGCGATGTGTTCTACACCATGTTTCACGGGAGCTTGGCGAAACGCGACGCAACCATCATTCCAGTTCCTGAAATCCTTCCCGAAGCGTTTGCTATCATGCTCAGGTATTCAACGTTAGTTATGCAACGTTAAAGGAGCCCTCTGTCGTTCTGCTTGCTTGCCATAACGACTCAATACTTACCTGACTGGATACTTGAAAAGTAGGCTGTGGGACTGAAGACGGCTTGTGCTTGCAACAGTTTGTGCATTAGGCAACCATTTCGCGAAATCCTTTCGCAGCTATAGGTTTTTGCTCCCTTTCAGCTACATTTACACTGATTCCGTGGAGAATCTGAAGCCTGAGAACGTCATACACACCCTGTACTGCGCTGACAAGTACGATTTGCCATGGTTGGCGGACCGCTGCATGGGTTTCGTTTTCGAGCAGGTGAAGCCCCACAACTGCCTTATGCTCCTGGAAAACGTAAGTCTGCATCAACGTGAGTCTGCATTATCGCTCTTAATAGGGGCATCGCGGCTTTTTGTAGGCGCTCCGCTGGACTCCCGATTGTGAGCAGATTGTGGAGAAGTGCCTGGATGTCGTGGACGAGTTCAGCATGACTGTGTTCCAGTCGGATGGGTTCACGGAGATCGGAATGAAGACGCTGGAGATGATTCTGCAGCGTGATACACTGTCGGCTGAGGAGAATGTCATTTACACCGCCGTAGAAAAGTAAGCTGTCACTGTTTTGAAATTTTTTGCAGTTGTGTGCCCCACGTGAGTATACCAATTAAGCGTTAATGTCGTAGATGGGCGATAGCTGCCTGCACTCAGAAGCACCTGCCTCCCTCCGCTGCGAATCTTCGGAAAGTGCTGGCGGATGCTGTGTTCCTAATTCGCTTTCCGCTGCTGACGGATAAGCAACTGGCGATCGGACCCGCTAAGGTTAGCTGGCACTACCATGCTCCCAAGAAAAAGACATTTGCTTGATGTTCTTTTATTGGCAACAGTCACCCAAACAACAGTAACTGCAAGCGCTGATACACTAATTAATAGTTAAAAATGAAACATTAAAAAAACAACTGAAATCCTTGCTTGATTAGTTATTGTGCTGTTGTGCAGAATGGTATGCTGGATTCGGAGGAAGTGTCTAAGATTTACGTGTACAAGCACTCAGACATTAAGGAACCGCTAAAGTTTTCCACGGAGCCTCGGAAATATTTGACCTATGGGTTCTGCGTGTCCCAAACCAGCTCCGGCGTACACCCATTTACGGATAAACCCTATAAGCCCAAAGAGCAGATCGTCCTGGCGTGCAAGAGCGGCTACTGGCATCCCGCCAAAGTGTGCGGCGACAATTTAGTGGACCCCCATCCCCCGCTGGTCCTGAAGCTAGATCCACCGTCTGCTGCATCCCTCGTTGCACCGACACAGGTCGTGCGTGCTGCGGATATTCTCCAACGTGGCCAGCTAGTGTATGTCTACATTGATGGTGCGTTTATGGAAGCGAAGTATGGTCAGCAGCGCGCAGGACTGCATACGGTTAGCGTCGCCGGCCGTGAATACAGTGTGGATTTTATGCAGCTCAAGTTTTCCGGCAAGCAGATGGACCAATGGAAGGCTGACCAAAAGTAGTAGAGTGCGCTTGGATCAGATAAGGCGGCGGTGAAATCTCTTTAGTGTTACATGTAGACTTTGTTCTGATGCTCGGCTCGCTACTTCTCCCTTGCCCAATGCCTGAATCACTTAGTATGTGCCGATTCTCCTGTAATGCGCTTTCTGATTGTCAAGGGCGATATGCCCGTTCATGCTGTTATCTGATATACCGTTCCACTTGTTGCTCTGATATACCGCTGTTTTTGTGCTTTTCTGGCACAGTCGCCTCGGATTACAGTCCGATTTCCTTCAATAACAATCCCTGACTCGCATTTGCCGTCTCGTTCGTTGCCGTTAATGCATATTTCCGTAAACACTGCATATTAGACTACGAAACCGGCCGGTCTTACACCGCCGTGACCTTTCCTTTTATTTCGCTCTGCCAATTATTCATGTAACAAATGGTCCTCATTGACTGAGAAAATACCTGTCGGTTATTACAGTCGTCTTTCTATTTTTCCTTGTATTCGGTCCTGTCCTATGCCGTGTTAACCGGTGACCGTTATTTCCGGCATCGCCGTGCCATTACCTGGCCACCTGGCATTTCCCTTGCGCATTGCCTCAGCATGGACCGGCAACATACCGGAAACGTGAGTCTTTATATTTAATAACCCGAAAAGTGATTAGAGACGGTTGTCAGCCGTTCGACAGTGCACGTGAATTATATCAGTGCATGACACTGTAGTGTCATATGTGCCGTAATACGGCCGTGTGTGTTTTACCATTGTTGAAAATGTTTGCATTTCATTAATTTCTTTCGTGAATAATCCATTATTCGTTCTAAAATTTAAATATGGTATACGAATTGTCACTTGTTCAGCGAATCAATAATCAGGTGTATATACATCGATTGTCGCAGACTTATTCTTTTCAAAATAATAATGAACTAGCGACATTTTGCAGTCATCTGTTTATTCAATATTCGACTGTATTGTATGTCGAGTGGAAAAATCTGGATACTGAAGATACAGGGATTTTATTTAAAATGCCTATTACGGATTCTCTTGTTCAAGATATTGTTGATCGTTTGGTATCGTTCGGTGGTATGCGCAATGTGCTGCAAATTCCTGAATAGAATAATTCACTGATCACCGTATTTAATATTTCAATATTTGCATTTCCTAATTGTCTTTATTGCGTGTATTCTCTTTTCATGAAAATTATTGCGCGGTATTTCTTTCCTTTCTGTTATGCATTTTAAGAAATGTTATTCGACTATAAAGTTCTTTGTCGCCGTACATCTGATGGCGTAATCTACTGGCGCTTCTTTCGGGATGCAAATCACGCTGACGAAGACGCTTTCGATTCTTTTTGTAATACCTTTTTCGAAAATAATCCTGAGGCATTGCTAATTGATTACGTGACATTCAACCCCGTCGGAAGCGGTATTAATGTTCGTGAAAAGAGTACGGATGCATATGTACAAAAATATATTGCTGAGGCAACGTGCCCTTGTTGTAAGCATTCTTATGTATGAATGTCATTTTTGCTTTGGAATAAATATATATATTCTTTTATCTCATTCTTTTCAATGATCTGTTGTGAAATGCAATTCTCATATAAAACTGTTTCACGTGATCATACGGGCCGAATAATTCACAGTGTTTGGCAGACAACAGAAAGTGATGATGTTGATGAATTCGCAGATTTTTGTACTGCGATTTTCAGCAACGATGCAAAAGTTTTGTTTGTCCATTGTATTGTCCTTGAGTCCAGGAGAGCACATTTAGTTGCGCCTCGACAAAACCTGAGTGACCTTTATGTCTTCCAATATATAACACAAACCGTGTGTCCTTGCTGTAACACGTTGTTGGTTAATGCGCATCGACAAAATCCGCATCGATTGTAAGATTCCCTTTTCTCTTTGATGTGGTTTCATAATTCGAAAATTTATTTACAGTTTTCTGGACTTCATTCTATTATTTTTGTCTTCTTCTTGCAAATAATATTCATATTTTCCGGTTATGCTCTATAGAGCTACGTTTTATTTTTGTACGTATCCATTTAAACAGCATAAATATTATGCTGCACATAGCATTCAACATGTATGTTATCAGATGAACTTTATTTTTCCAAAACGTGACCCGTTCTATATTAAAATAAGAGAATCGTTACCTCGGGATGAATCATCCCGTTATACGGTTCCGGCGAAGCGTATGCGCGCTGGTCTACCAAGTTTCGTAACACTTTCCCTTCTCCTTTTACTCTGTACCCTGTCGGGTACGTACGGACTGAACACTACGCTATGCGATTGCTCACGCAGCAAATACGTGGGAATTGCTGACCTTTCTGCGCGAATTCGATGCGATCAGTTGGATAGCCCTATCAGAGAAACTCATGATGTCAAGTACTATCTTCTTGACTATAAAAACATCACCCGACTTTTTCCCGGCTCCGCTTGCCGTATAATTCTGAAAAGTACGATACAAGAAGGGTTTTTCTTCGGCGGGTATAACAGCCAGAATTTTGAGGTAGCACTCCCGGTCACCGCTGACCAGTGCCGTGACATGGTCCGAACAAAAACTTGTAGTGGCAACGCAATGATTAAAAGTGGACGTACTTGGGTATACGACGCAATACCTGTGGTTGAACGCCGGTGGAACCAATTCCGCCGTGCCGACGTCGTTACCTGTCTCTTGGAGAACGTCACCCTCGAAACAACGTGTGACGACTGCCCAGTACTTTCCGCTACCGGCGAAATCTCTTCGTCGATTCTTGCCGAGTCCAGTATTCATCCGCACGTAACTTACGTGTGGACTACTGACAAAAACCATACGAAGTGTCGCGCTAACACGGTTCTTAACAGCGAGGGACAGTTGTTTCAATTAAAATCAGGAGAGATCCACATTCGTGACCATCTACATCAACTCAGCTTTACGGTTGAGGAAAAAATGGAACGAACATGCGATGAAGGCGCATCTGTTCATTACGTCCGCTCCCATCCGACACTCCGAATAAAATTTTACCACGCTTGGTATCGTCCAAACGTCACTGAAAAAATCCGCCCTCCAGCTCGCCCACCTGTTGGCATCCAAAGTCGGTTGAATGCCAACCTTTCGGCGGAAATTGCCACCTTGTTGTCGTCCCACCTTCAGTACGTTGAGGATTTCTTCGCGTTTCAAGAAATGAAAATTTTCAATCACCTGCACAAGTTGCAATGCCAGGCCGATAAAACCGAAATGGAAAATCTGATACTACTTAGTCAGTTTTCCCCTGTGGTTGTCGGAACCAAACTCGGTTTCCCGAAATGCCAGGCTGCTGTAGTTCTAGGTGATTCAGCTACTATTTACCAGTGCACGGAGGTTAACGTCACGATCGGCGTAAAATACTCCACATGCGGACCAGATCCGTACATCGCAGCCGAAAATGATGACCGCGGCTACACTGTTGCTCTCGACGGTGAAACCCTTAAAAGACATTCAGTTTGCCTCCATCGGCACTCGGTAGTAATCGTACACGGAACTCTCTACCGCTACCAAGACGGTGCCTGGACTCCTGTAAATCCTATTTTCCATAAAACGCTTGCGCACTGGCATTACACTGCAAAATTCCTGACGGACAACTTGGAAGACACTCTCGGTGACTCCTTGTCAGTGGATCCTTTCCGGTTTCTCGACTTGACAGCCGAGTTATCCGGCCTGATGTTGGAGACCGGTATTTCAAATTTGAGTACCATAATTACTCCAAAATATGTTCAGAGTACGATGAAGTCCATGACATGGCATAGCCTCTTAAATATTTCGTTTACTTCGATCACCGTTTTTATTGCTATTGTGTTTTGCGTTCGGTATCACCGAACGGTGATCGCGTTTTTAAGCTGTCTTATAGATTGTTGCCGCCCGCGTTCGCGCCGGCAATACGATTTTCAGCCTCGACGGCAGGAAACGGCTGCGGTCACCGTTGCCGCTGCGGAAACCCAGGACAGGAACCTTTCTCGGACTGTACACACACGGACGGTGGACATTCCCATGACGCCGCGTTACCGTCCTTCGGACATGGTGCGACAGGATCCTGTCTACGCCAATGCGCGTATGGTCGCCGAGGACTCGGATGGATCAACGATCGGCGCACGGACTCCCTCTCCGGAGCACACGGTTGGAACACGGACGGAACCGACGGTGACCTTTGGAAATGCGTTGATGGAACAGCGCCGGAAGTTGGCACCGGTTCGGTACGGAACTCCACCGACCGTGAGCAGCGTATAACCGCTTAGCATTAGCCTTATTTTTCCGCTCATGTAAAGTCAGCCAGCACATTAATTAAAATTTCGCAAAAAAAAAAAAATTTTTTATTGAAAAAATTTCAAAAACATTGTATTTTATGCTGTTTGTTTTTATATTTTGCTTAGATAATTCAAATCAAGTCAGGTTCTCGCTTGTATTTAGTTCAATTTCAAAATGGTCAGGATTAATTACTTCAATTTTCAATAAACAGGATCATTTTATTTTGTAGAAAATTTACCAAAAAACATTGGTCAGGAAATTTCCTTGGTTACTTGTCAGATTTTACTTCCAATTTTTAAAACAAAAGGAAAGGTTCGTGAAGATAGACCCGGTTCTATCCCCGGGAACCCAGTTATATTAAATTCACTACCTAAAGCCTTATGTCATCGATTTTTATCAGCCATTACAGCCTTGCAATAATCAATGAGTGCTCGTAATAGGTAGCCTGCATTATGGTCATGGTTAACGCATTGTATTTTCTGGGGCAAAATTTGAAATTAATTAATTAAAATTTCCTACGAAGATGCTGGTGCAGCAGTTTGTTTGCTAAATGTCGAGGTGAGTATAATTGCTAAAAATCATCTTAAAAAACAACGAAGTCCTTAATAAAATAAAAGTGTCTGATCAGCCATCCCGTTGCTGTAGCAATACTTTGGTCATGGGCGCGTAACAACTCTAGCTTTCGGCGCATCACTGGTTTACGAGGTGTTGAGCCGTAAGTACGCGACTTGACCGCGAGACATGCTACTAATCTACTCAGACCGATTAATAACGCACTCGTCTGTACAAGTACCAGTGTACGAAAAATTCCAACATGGGGAAACGAAGTGGACGCTATGCGCGTGTTATAGACAGGCGAACAAACAGTGTTTGAAACCAGCGAAATCAGATCATGGAAATGAGCGAATGAATTTTTCGTACAGATTTTGCCTCAGAGAATAGGATTTTCTGTTTAATTTCGTGAATACGGTGTAGTGTTGTGGTTTTGGTGTATGGTTGACCGCGGATCAAAGTTCAAGTTCAAGTGCGACCGAATGATATCATCAATAGCAACGCATTTATTATGAAAATGAGTCAGGGAATCTAAATCCAAAAACATTTATAAAATGAAAATTTGGTTTAACCCAGGTTTTCCCTAAAAGCGTTACGAAAATAAAATACAAAATATCTCGCTGTACTACCTATATTTCTTATAATCATATCAAGTATAAATATTATTCGCATAATAATACCTGTTGTTTCTTGAATGTGTTTTGAAAATTTCTAAACGCAAAAATAGCTGCTTTATTGTATTGCTGGTTGACTGGCTTTTCTGCTTCTTTTATATTAGTTATGGACTGCGGACAGTCCTTTTTCATGGAGAGAAGTGTTACATGTAGACTTTGTTCTGATGCTCGGCTCGCTACTTCTCCCTTGCCCAATGCCTGAATCACTTAGTATGTGCCGATTCTCCTGTAATGCGCTTTCTGATTGTCAAGGGCGATATGCCCGTTCATGCTGTTATCTGATATACCGTTCCACTTGTTGCTCTGATATACCGCTGTTTTTGTGCTTTTCTGGCACAGTCGCCTCGGATTACAGTCCGATTTCCTTCAATAACAATCCCTGACTCGCATTTGCCGTCTCGTTCGTTGCCGTTAATGCATATTTCCGTAAACACTGCATATTAGACTACGAAACCGGCCGGTCTTACACCGCCGTGACCTTTCCTTTTATTTCGCTCTGCCAATTATTCATGTAACATTAGTTGATGATATTATGATGAACTGGTAAAAATTCGCCCGTGATGTTTGATTGACAGGCCATGTATGATTAGGATATGCCTAATGTCGCTCTCTGTTTTCATTTTTTTATTCTGTGTGTTTTCATGCATTGTGGTAGTTGGATTTCATTCCTTCGTACAGAGTTATCAATGTTCTGTTGTTACTGTAGCTTGAAGAAGCACTCCGAAATTACGTGGAACCTTAATACCGAACAATTACAGACAGTAGTCATTAATAAATAGTAAGACATACAAGATCCCCGGATCGATGGCAGGATCGATTTTAATTTTTATCATTTTGTACGAAAAGCGGGGGCTTGAGATGGAGCTAATCGCCGCTTTTTGCCATGTACGGAGTGACGGAGTACAGAGTACTTTTGGGCTAATATGCGATCATGCGATGTACAAGTACAGAGCAGTACTCTGTAAAGTGTACACATCACATACCGAAATTGTCAGGCACGCAGCGTGCCCGACAATTTCTTTAAAAATGGATCAAAACTCTATTATTTTATAGTAATAGTTTATGCTTTATAGTAGTACACATGCAGTTTTGCTAGTTAGGTACTGTACTACTCGTAGTCTCGTACCTGTAGTCGCTAGTTAGGATCCGAGTATTTCCGCCGGAAACAGGTGTTTGTAGGCGAACTCCAGGTAGGCTGTTACGTGTACAGTATTGTACTGCGAATCCGAGGTATATATAATGTATTGGTATATATAGTGTTACTAGGTAACTACTGCGTTCAGTTTCACAAGAACAGGATTCGCAGTTCTTAATAGATATTACTTCTATCCCCTTCCAAAATATGCTGTTCGAAAAATAATGCCACTCCCAAAATTGCGCCCCTCCCCGAAATAAGCCCCCTCCACCATGGCCATCGAACTATTTGCACCCCGGAGCCACAAATTCGATAATTACGGTATTCGTCAACTAATGCAGAACCAACAAATTTATCAGAACGCCAGCTCAGATGTGGCATATAAGTATCCACATTCCTCGTACCTGGACAACCTATGGATTATAATCGATAATAACGTAGACTAATTCGATAGCTGTTTAGCTTAGACGCAGTTCTCCAGAAACCTGGCACGCCCAGGAAGCGGATTTCGGATAGCCAGAACACCGAAATATGATAGCTCAGTGCAGAAGGCTGATCGCTACTGTTCTTACTGACGACGATGTTCCTGCAAACAGTGCACACCGTTGGCAGCGTACTGCGCCCACCTTGCTAATGTGTATTTCGCCGAAAGCGAATTCCTCACCGGAATAGCTTTCCGACTTTTATACGATCGCTGTGTCTGTACTTCTCCCGCAGCTCTCGGATATCCGCAACCGTATAATTAATGATACCCTCACCACGAACATCTGGAAGTGCCCCATAACGTTCGCAGTATGATTGCAAGTTTCAACGAAAGCAAGAGCGATCTCACTTTGTCGGGATTCCGCACAGAACGAAAGCTGTGGTTGGCGGTGGCATGCTTATAGTGATAGATGTCCCATCCTTCCGATTGCCGCAATAAGCCGCTCTGCACAAACATAACACAACAAGATTTCACGGAAAACGTTCGACTGTATTTCGGGCCCACAGTTGCCCAGGCATTATTATCTGTACAGTGCACTAGATTGTCCGTTGCCAGAGCCTCTAAAGTCTGTCTCTAACTGAAATAACGGAGTGTAGTAACCAATTCCGATTATATAATAAGATCAATAAATCACAAATAAATATTAAATAGCATGACCACCTTCACGGGACCGTCCAGTAGCTGATTATCGGTCAAGAGCGGAAATCGGATGAGAAAGAAAGCCTGACCCAGTATCTCACGGCGATTGGCCGAAGAAGCTTCCATGTTCCGTTTGCTTGCACATGCTCACAGCCCACCTATCAAAAAAATGCTGATCAAAGTCTGTTATAAAAACGGGCTCGGATCGCCTTTCAGTACTGCAAAACCTAATTTACCTATCAACCGCCGAGCAAATGGTGGCCTCTTCGGCGGTCAGCGTATCCCGTTGGAGAATGATGCGTAGCGCCTCCTCTCCAAGCGCACAGAACTGCTCCGATTCCCAGATACTTTTTGCCGATTCATCAATCAGGGCTAAGCACTTCGCCAAGATGCTCGGCGCTGGACATGCGTAGAAGATCGCTTACACAGCACAACCTGTTAATATATGCTGCAGCAAATGCCACCACGAGAAAACCTACAGTTTCCAGCATATCCAGGCAGTTGTTGTCGTTGAGCCCATTCAGGACGAAATCAGTGCACTTGCCCACGAGCAGTGCGACGTCATATTTGTCCGCGCAAGCCAGTATAGGGAAGACGGTATCATGGGTGAACTCCACGGTATCGGTATAGATGTAGCTGCAAATGTTCTTGTCAATACTTGTCATTTGCGGTATTGGCTGGCAAGAAAAGTCGGGAAATTTAGTAAAGATGGATAGTGAGGTACCGGAGTATATAAAGGAAGGCCTCGGGATGTACGTCCGGAATGTCGATGGGAGCGGTGCAGCGCTCCGGTACACTCCCGTAGAACATCGCCTGAAACACAGTTCTGCGGGCACTCAGGACGCTTCTGCACGAAACATTTGAAGATAATCAGACCCTTATCAGGCGGAAATGTAAGTACGGTAGAAGCACGTGCTACAAAGCACTATGACAGTAGTTACACTTCGTTCCAAACTTTTACAAGCAAATGTAGTTTACACTTAAACTCAAATATCCAATAGCTAGTACATACTGATTTACCTGTGAGCTGGAATAATCTTCACGGTACCGTAATCCCGTCCCACTGCGAACTGGACATCGCTGATTTCGCCACTGGCCAAGATGTGCCGCGTGCCATCACCGATCATCGCAATTCCAGCGTGATCTCCCGAATCAGCGGAGGGTGTCGGCTGAGACTGACAATACGGAATTTCAGGCGTGAATTTCTAAACAACCGAGCAGAAAGCAAGTCCTTTCTAAACGCAGCTAAAATCAGACTGTTTTAACTGTATCATCAACAGCCAGAATTTCAAAAACCTTCAATTCAGTATGAGAACTGCTTATTGCACGAAACAATAGAAACCTAGGGATATTGAATTATGAAGCATGATTTGGTCTTAAAGCTTTCTGGTTCTGGTTGCAGCTGCCCGGTTATAATCGACAGTGGCCCAAACAAGTAGAAATGATTGGCCCAAACTGAAGAAGCCTAAAACACAAAATACTTTAATATGAAAAAACTGACAACTGACTGTTCGTCGTTTGGGTCAAAAAAGCATAATCTGCAAGTACGTACTATGTGGACGTACGATACCTATTACACATAGCACGTGTACCTCTGTACATACTACATAGCACAGATACCGGTGGCGAGCACTATTAATCCGTATGCGTGTCTCTGGTCTTTCAGTATTTGTCAGTCTACCGGAAATCCGCGTTTTATTCCACGCAGTGCAAATATATATTGATAATTGTCTGTTATTTTCCTGCTTAAAATAAAAGCAGTTGTATACGTGAAACAATATGCGGTACGTGCTGACAGTTTTATTCGAGAAAGGCGGCACACCCATGTAAATTATGAATCATGATGATCATGGCACCTTGCCTGCGCATTGAAAGGGTCAGGAAGCCAAACAAAACATAACTCAAATAAGCATTTTTATCGGTGTACACAGTGTACAAAAATACTAAACGTCAAGCACGTACACGCCTTTACTTGTATGGATAAATCTTATCTTTTACGATTATGAGAACACCGACTTGTTTCTTATAAATCAAATCAGTAATTAAGAATGCTCCTCTTTAGCCTTACGCTCACAGCCAGATCTGCTACGTAGCGAGTATTGTATTGTATTTCTACTTCTATGGACGTAAATTAGTTTTAATCTCCTCAAAAGAAGCGAAAGCAATCCCTCTGCATACACTGTGCATAGTGCATCCAATAGCGCCACTGTTATCTAACATCCCGGTGCTGCGGGAGGCACCAGTATCCAGTCCCATTCCTTGACCGTAACATTTTCTGCACGCAGGTAAAGTACTGCATGTACCGAATACTTTACAGGACACTTGATGGATTCAGACTAACTTAACACCTGACACAACCAATTAACGTACAGTTGCAAATGAATAATTGAAAATGCACGGTACAGATTTGAATGGTGCACGTAGTCATTTTCGTGCTTCTATTAAGGGATTTGGCCCGGTACATAGTACCAAATTGGGGTACATACACGGGAAATTCGCTGTCGCGCGCTCCAAAACCCTTTTTTGCATTGCTTTATGATATTTTGTAGCCAAAGGATTCGTATACATAGGCGAAAAAACCGTTTGTGCGCGCAACATCCGGTTCGGGAGTTATTAGTGACATAAAATTCCAAAAGTTTAAACGCGCGGAGGTGTACCAAAAGTCTCATTATGAACCGAAAATTTTAAAAATCAATTTAAAATTTGAAGAAAATGGTAGAAAGCTGGTTCGGTACCAAAACGATCTTCATAGTAATGTGCATTTTCGTGCAAAATTCGAAGAGTATCGGTTCGTAATGAGACTTTTGGTACACCTCCGCGCGTTTAAACTTTTGGAATTTTATGTCACTAATAACTCCCGAACCGGATGTTGCGCGCACAAACGGTTTTTTCGCCTATGTATACGAATCCTTTGGCTACAAAATATCATAAAGCAATGCAAAAAAGGGTTTGGGAGCGCGCGACAGCGAAAGTTGCCGTGGATGTATACAAATTTGGTACTATGTACCGGGCCAAATCGCTTAAGGCCGAAATGCACGCATAAGGAAGACCGTCCCCCACGGCCGTATGACGAAGAGAATAAGGATTCATCACACAACTGGAAGAGCGACCGAATGTCGAATGGTGTCGAACTTTATGTGCAGCTGGCCAACAATAAGGAAGGTTCTCGGGTATGTTACCGCACGACAGTACCACGCCGGCTGATACGGTACACGCCCAAGATCGCTCGCTCAACGACCGGAAGAATGGAAG